GAAATATCATGTACAGATACTGTGATTATTTTCTTCTTCTTATGTTCTGTTTTGATTTTTTTTACAGCTTGTACCTTGAATGTCAGCTTTTATTTCATTGTTCAGGTTATTCATTTTCTATTTTAATAAGATATTGATGGATAACTGATGAGGGGATAAACTGATACTTTATCATACACATTTTGCGAGGCACTGCTCTAAGGAACAGCGATATATCTATTCCAATCTTCCATGAGATTAGTGAGTAATGAAACTATAAACGCCTACAAAATGAAATTAAACTTTGAAATGAAACAAGAATTGGTTTTACGGGTTGTATCTGCAAAGATCCCTAGAAAAATTACTAATTCCCTTCAGGAGACAATAATAATAGCCTCTTGTACCCCTTAAACTTTTCTATTTCATAAACTTGGTGGATATGAGGAAGGGGGGGAGAAAATAAATGATTATATTATAATACAAAATTTTAAGAGCAAAGCAGATAAATTTAGGGAAATTGAAATGGAGAAGAGCAATAGAAGGAGAAAGAAACTTAAAGTCAAGGGATGGGGGCAAAAGTAGTGATTGGCAGTAAAAATAACTAACTTTCCCTTCACACTATTGAAAAGTTCTTGGCATTCTGTGAGCCTTGCGTAGAAAGTGGGTTCGATAAACAGTAACTACTTCTTAGACTGTGTTCTCCCCACAGCAGTCAAGTTTGAAAATCATATTAAATTATCTAGGAAGATGGATCCAGAAAGACCAAAGAATGGAGAGAGCCCAAGAGAGAAGAGTTTTTGCACCTTTCATGGGTCAGGATATGTGATAAGTCCTGAGAAATTTGTAGCTTAGACTTGGAAGAAAAAAAGAAAACAAACGGTCAGGGGAGAAAAAGAACACTAGAAAGTGAGCTATCAGTAGGGACTAGGGAAATTAATTTGAGTTCTAAGGTAGGAGAAGTAATTTATTGTTTGATAAAAGTAACATATTTAAGGAAATTTTACTTTGTACTAAGGATGTGCACATTGCTTTATAAGTCTATTTTACATACTCAAAATAACAATCTTGTGAGTTGTGATATTGTCATCTCTGTTTTACAGATGAAGAAACTGAAGTGTGGAAGTTTGTTTTTGTGAGATTCTGTTAATGTGCTAGTAGTCTTTCTGTTGCTATAATGGAATATTGGAGGCCAAATAAAGGAAAACAAGTTTATTAAGCTCATGATTCTTGCACTTTAAGGCCATAACACTGGCATCAGCTCAGCTGTGGTGAGGACTTCAAGTAGATGGAAACCAATGACAAGGCATGTGTGAAAGGAAGAGATCACATTCCCAAACAGGAAGTTGGAGGGTGGTTCAGGGACTCCAGCTCAGATCCCTGCAATTTACTATCTTAAAAACTAACTCTGTCCCAGAAGAACCACCCTAGTCCCCTCCCAAAGCAACAATCCCAGTGATCTCCCATTAGACTGTATCTTTTGAAGGTCCTTCCACCTTTATACCACTACATGGACAACCAAGCCTCCAAAACACAAATCTCAGTGAGACAAACTACATCCAAACTGTAGCAGTTGATTTATATTAAGCACTAGTTATTCTGTTTTAGCAGTTCTGATATTTCTATATATGCCTTTCCATTAAGAGTTCTTGCTTCACATTCCAGATACCACTACAATTTTGGCAAGCAGTGAAGGGATGTTACACTCTGACAACATTCTGAAAGTACTAACAGTGGGAAAGTACATGAGCAATTTAACAAATATGAGTTATACACATTTTGAAGGCAAATGAAAGGGAAATTCATAAATACATAGGAAGTGCCATAGTTTGAATGTGTCCCTAAGGGTTTCAGTGTTGGGCCTGGTCCTCAGTGTGGTGATATTGAGACTTCAAACCTTTAAAATTTGGGACTTAGTGCAAGCTTAGTAAGAAACTGGAGGCTCTGCCCTTGGATAGGATTGACACTGGTAATATGCAGTAAGTTGGTTCCTGAGAGAGAAAATTGTTATGAAAGAGCAATGCAGGCCAGGTGCTGTGGTACACACCTGTAATCCCAGTAATCCAGGAGGCTCAATTAGGAAGGTTGCAAGTTCTAAACCAGTGTGGGAAATTCAGCAATTTAGTGAGATGCTGTCTCAAAGTAAAAATAGAAAATATAGTTGAATATAGTTCAGCACAAAGACCTTCCTAATAAGGAAAAAAACAAATAGGACAATACAGGCTCCTCTCTGCTCTGTTTGGCTTCCTATCTCACAATGTGATCTCTCTTGTGTGTGTGCTCCTGCCACTGTTCTGTCATCCACCATGAATCTATCAGAAACAAACAGAAGCCAGCACCATGACCTTGAACCTCTGGAACTACTGTAAGATAAATAAGCCTCTTTTCTTTACATATGATGCATCATAACTTATTTTGTTAGCACAAAAGAAAATGTGTTAACTCAGGTAAATGTAGCCCATCAAAAATTTTGCGTCATATTAAAATGACTATCTCTAAACAATGTTTGGACTGTAATATTAGTTAAATTACTCTATTCAAAGAAATGTTAGCCTTTTAAATCAATTCACTCTCCAGTAGAAGAAATCAAGAGAAAGAGAAACACATTAACTTTCTTGATCAGTAGCCATTTATACAAGTGATGGTATGCATGAGTATAGTTACCTGTGGCCTGCATTGAACTTCCAGTATTAGAACTGGAAGGCTACTCTCATCTCTTTTCAGACATGATCAATGAGTCAGGATCTTCTTTCCTCCTAATATCAGGCTGCACTTCAAAAATTCTGGAATTAGCCCACCAAAATGCCATGATCTATCAGTAAGATATAGTTGATAAAAGAGTTGATTTTTATTTCTTGTCCATGTGATAGGAGACTCTGAAGCAAGGCTTTTTTCCTCTCAGACATGCATTTAAGTTTTCATATACTGCTGACAAATTATTATATACCCTTTCAGCAGAATATTGCTGTAATGGACACAATGTCAGCTGCCCTCAGTATTTGTGAAAGCCACTTCAACCACAAGAAGTCTGAAATCAATGATTTATTTAATTCTGAGACTTCAAGCATGTTTCATTCAAATTTTGACAGCTTGGTTTAAGTTTTAACTCTGACAAGAATAAAGTCTCAAGTGGAGGAAAGACAGGAGACAGCTTTCATTGAAAATGTTTTTGACAAATAATGCTGATGCCCAAAAAGAAGAAAACAGACTGTGCAGAATAAATTCCTTGTTCTATATCTGCTTCATTTGCAAATTGTAAACCATTCAAATCATTGATATAGAAATTTGCTTGTTTTGATTATCCACCTTGTTGTGTTTTCTGCAAGTAAATGTTTATGTCTTATGAAAAGTACAGAATATGGGTTATGTAACAGAGTGTCAAATCCTCCCAGTGAATGCATTACATTGCCGATTTTATAAGGCACTACTAAGTTGCTGAGAAGAAAAAATTACATTTGGTTGAGTGTAAACTAATGTTGGATGAATAATTATATCTCCATCTTTTAATATATTGAGTACAGAACATGTACAACACAGTTTTGAAAGTCAACCCCTTTAGCTATGGTTTCATCAAGAAGAAAAAATCTATTGTACTTGTCATGCTGCTCTGAAGGCTAATAACTAGCTTTATTGGAAACACTGTGGCACATTTATATTCCCACTGTTGAAGTGTGGTCACTGAAATGCAGCTGAGGGAATCACAAATGAGCACTCTAAAACAGAGCAAGCTTCCAGCCTTGACTTTCAATTACTCAATTTGTAGCTGATCTGAGTTTTCTGTTTCTGTTTCTCTGAGCTTTTATATGCGTAACCTCCAGAGGAAAGGAATATCAGATTTTTAATATGGCTACTTCAATGTAGGATTTGATCGAGTAGTAGTTTACAAATATGGTACAAATGAGATTTCTGATTATTTGTAGACTTCCATCAGTCAGTCTCCCTGTCCTGCAGACATGTGAAATGGCTGTATACTGCTTATGGCATTTCAGGTAGTATTCTATTCACATTTTAAATAAAATTTACAATGGAAAAAACCACAGTCATTGGTCATATTTACATAATTTGGATTTATATGACCAGTTCTTTATAAAATGTGTACAATAATTTAGCAGCTTGATAATGTGGGTCATACTTTATCTTGAATGGAATGAGATTCAAAACCCTTTTCTTCCCATTTAAAAGGTCCAGAACACACACTGTTTACCTTGGGGCCATTTATACTCTTAATTAAAATCAGTTTTCCTATAAAAACTGCCACTATATTTCACCTTAGTATTGTACTAAATTAATCATCATTGTAGAAAACCTTTCAACAGTTATTTTTATCTAATGCTTATCTTAATGCACATACTTTGAGTCTATACAATTTATTTTTTTAAACACTTGATGCTGTCAGATTTACTCAGTGAGTTCTTTTGACATTTATAAATAAGTGAAAGTAACACAACATTGTAACTCTAGAATCTTAAATGACAGGACTGAAAATAACTGTATAACTCATTTGTGCAGAATTTATAAAATTACTCGTTTTCCAACATAATTATATTTATTCTCTAAAAGTCTTTCAGTTTGTCAATATTGTTGTTCTCCCAGCTAGAAGTTACCAAGAATAGTGTTCTATTATCACCTGGCAATGATGTAAAACCAAACTGGCAAACGTTTTTGGCCCGTGAGGCTGCCCATCTACTGGATTATGTAAGGTATTCAGCCAATATGTCAGTGTGCCTTAGTTTTACAAGGCATTAGGGTAGATGAAATGTAAAGATAACTCACTCCCCCAAACAAAACAAGAATCCCTGAATAAACTATCAAAACAAAATGAAACAAAACAAAAATACTTTAGTAAATTAACTTTTACCATAAAAAATCAACAGAGTGGCAGTAGTATGAGTAAACAATTTTAGAGACTTTAAGAACTGGTAATGAAGACGTTTATATAGTCTCAGTCTCCTTTATACCCTTGGAGGCAGATCCGAAACAGTCATAATAATTGTTAGGAGCAATGGACATATTTTAAGGTCAGTTTTTTATGATGATTTGTGTATTAACATTTATCACATTTTTTTGTGAATACATTCACTCTATGGACATTTTCTTAGGCATATACATGAGTCAGAGGAGACACATACTGAGCAGCTCATATTCATTAAGGCTCTTGCCACTGGCGGCAAAACTTTTTAGAGTCATTTCTTTTGTGAAAAATCATTTTGAATAGCAAGTTGTTTTTCTCTGTGGTTAACCACCATGCCTGAGATTTGTGGTAGTACAAAACCCGTTTAGGCACTGCCAAAGCACTCAGAGAGGGTTCCAACTTCCTGGTCTGGGGAAGGTGCAAAGGGTTGATTTACATAAAGAAACAACTGTTCAGAGGCCACAAGATTAAGGAACTTTTTGATGAAGTCAAGGAGTCCTAGATAGGAGTGTTTCCACAGCATTTAGAAGGATGTCACTTTTTTTCTTGTCGCTGGCCGGTTCTTCTGTTCCCAGCCAAACTGCAGCAGAAGAAGGGTACTCTGGTGTGGCTGTTGCAGGGCAGAGTTTCACAAGTCCGTTGCCTCCTGCAGCCACTGCTGGAGTGAACTGAAGCGTGGACCAGCTCCGCTGGCATCTTGCTGAATGGGTATACAATTTATATTTTAGTATGATTTTCTGAAGACTACATTTTGATCAAGTTTAGCCATATTATTGTTCTTAGCTAATTCTTATTAGCATTACAGTTCAGTCCAATAAAAGCCACTTAATCAGAAATTGGAAATACACTTCAAACAAATCTACTATAGTCAGTTCTTTTCTGCTGACAATAAAGTAGAAGCCCAATTTTCAAGAGCAGAACAAATTAGCTCTATGTATTAATGACTTTATAATAAGTTTGATATGATTTAAAGCATAAATTTAAAAACCAGCTGATGAACTTAATCGAAAGTAAAAGTGTTATGGTTTGCTTATAAGGGGAATATTTTTCGGTAAATTAAATGATCAATGACTCCAGTCTCCTTAAATATTTTGTCCACTATTGCAATTTAAATAAGAAGCCTCATATATCCAAATGTTAATTTAAAATAATGACTAAATACTTATTTTTATGCTAAGTACTTTTACATCTGTAAAAACCCGTTTTCCCAGCACCATTTATTAAAGAGCCCATCTTTCTAGTTTTCTGAGCTCCAACCAGAATCATCTATCAGGGTTTGCTTATTATATTCTAAAGTTTCTCTAGCCTGTACCTCTAAATCTTTTCAAATTCCTACTTCAAACCATTCCAAAATCTTATAAACCACATTGTGATGTAGAGTGACAGAAAAAAAAATAAACTACTCTTCTTTTACCAATTTTTTATATTACTCAGCTTTCCCATTGCTTGACACAGTAGAGGACACCCACAAATTAAGAGGAAAGACACTTGGCTTATGATTACAGAGGATTCAGTCTATGGTCAGCAGGCTCTGAGTTAGTAACATCATGGCAGAAAGACACGATGGAGCAAAGATGATCAATTCATGGGCTGGGGATTCAGTTCAGTGGTTCTGCCCCCTGCCTCACAAGCACAAGGTCCTGAGTTCAATCCCTGGTACCAAAAAAAAAAAAAATCAGTTCGACAGCCAGGAAGCACAAGCAGGGGAATACTTCCAGAAAGAAAGGGAAGAAGGATGAGATGTGCCTCCGTGACACACACAGAAATGTACCCCCCCAATAAGCCCCCTATACAGATCCCAACACCAATCAAGTTGACACTCCATCCTAATAATAACAGTTGTATTGGCAGGAAGAAGTGAGTTGCAATTTTCCATAGCATGACCTTACTTGAAAAAGTTATTCTGAATAAAAATGGTGGAGGAACAATGACTATATATGAAGGGGACTTATTTTTGATAGTAGAAATAGCAATTGCAAAGATGCTGACATATTTCCTGTATTCGTTAACTTTCTCATGATTGAGCCAAAATACTTGAAACTTGTAATTTAAAGGAAGAAAGATTTATTTTGGCTCACAGTGCATTCAATGCTAGAAATAAGGCAGAAATGGCATGTGAACAGCTTGGTTAGCTATATACTCATAGTTGGACTAATTCATTAATTATTATATTGGTCCCATGACCTAATCTCCTTCCCAAAATCTCAATGCTGAACTCAAGACTTTTGGGGGGACATTTTAGGTCTAAACAATAACAGTTTATCTCTCATTTCAAGAAATAGAAATGTCGCCTGGAGAAAAGGAAATATCACTGATTGGGATGAACCTAATAGATGAGGTCAGAAAGTCAACAGTGTTTGATCACATAGGGTATTGACATGAAGATGTGAACTTTTATTCTTAAAGATACAGAAGCTATTATAAAGTTTTGACTCAAGAATGAATGGTCCTATATTTTTATAATATCTATCTTACTAAAAAGTCAGTTAAAAAGTAATTTCAATAACTTAATGTAAAGAAGATAGTGTCTTGAACTAGAGTGGTGGGTTAAATATAACCAGAAATGGTTTGATACTATTTTAAAAAAATAATTGAAGTAAAATGTGCATACCATAAAATTAACATTCTAAAATGTATGATTCCATATTTAGTATATTCTCTTCTGCCTATCTTCAAGACATTTTACATAATCCAAAAGAAAATCCCATACCCCTTGTATGGTAACTTCCTGTAACTTCTTCTTCTTCATTTCCGGTCACCATTAATCTGCTTTTTACCTCTACAGATTTCCCTGTTTAGGAAATTTCATGTAAACTGAATAACTGTTAAAATAAAAACTTTAGGCAATTTAAATTAAATGATTTATTTGTATAATGTATGATCTATGTGTTGGGCTATACTTAGAACAAGAAGTTCACAGAGCTCCACTCACGATCATGAGTAGTGACATTTTATAGTCTGAGCAGGGAAACAAAGAAAATAAATCATTCTGATTGACTATGACTAAACATTTTCTTCATTTGGACATTATATCATTGATTGGCTACCTGTAACTAAGTGAAACTTGCCTGTTTATGATTGGCTGACACTTGGTTGTTTGTTTAAAAAGTATACTCCTAAATTAAGTATTAGTGTATTATGTAAGAAATCAAGTATGGATGCAGCCACAGCACAATGGCCTCCTGCTTATGTAGCTCAATAAACAATGTGTGATCTTTATGCCTGGGTTTTTTTTTTTTTACGTAGAATAATATTTTCATGTTCTCCATATTAGAGCATGCAGCAGTACTTTGTTCATTTTCATAAATGAATAATATTCTATTGTTTGGATATACTACATTTTGTTTATCCATTCATCAATTGATGGGCAATACATTGTTTTCATTTTTTGACTATTGTGGATACATTTTAAAGATTTGCTAATAACTCAAATACAGAATATAAAAGAAAAAGAAGAGTCTGGGTTAATGCCAGGATCTCTGGGCTGAGCAGTGTAAAGAAACAGTAACCATTACCAGAAAAGAGGAAGGCAAAGTAGGGTTTTATATGGGGTTGTTGATTGAATAGTCATAATACATTTGGGATCTAATAATTGAAGAACATCAAATCAAAGTGAAGAATCAAATAAGCATTGAATATATGCGTTTGGAGTTTAGAGAAGTGTCATTAGGTGACAGCAAAAGCCTGAAAAGAAACACTTGGATCATGCAAGGACTTATTTTAGAGAAAAGAAGAAAAAAATTTAAAATTAAATTGAAAGGGAATAATATAAAAAGTACACAAAAGTGATCAGAATAAGGAAAGCAGAGCCTGTGGGAGTAACAATTTACCATAGATTATGACAATATATTTTGGCAACTGTGCCATACAAATTATTATATTAATTTGGTGAAATATATTGTTTTACATTTGTCACATGTCTTTTGGTACCTTTGGTAAATTTTTAAATTGCTGATGATTTATTGATAGGATAATGGATAAAAATGCTGTTGCTTTATTTAATTTAATTGTGTCTATATTGATACTTTAAATTTTATTATAAAACATAATGTTTAAATATGAAAAGAAACACACAAAGAAATCGATTTGACTAGTTTTAGTACTTGTTAAAAGTTCCTTCTTTCAACCACACTTCAGCTGTTGAATTGTCAAAGAGGGTGCAAACATACATGTCATATGAAGTAAAGATGCTCCAAACATAGGCAAATGGGATCTACTACACAGAAAGGAAAAATGGTGCTTTAGTCAATCCAATGGAGCCTGAGTTAATCCACTGCTTTTACCTGATAATTACATTACTGACAAAGTTAGAATCAATCCAATTTTGTTCTAATATTTTAAGAAGAAAGCACCAAAGACACGTAAGCACATGAGTTGCTGGCAAAGAGGATGACTAGTAGCCAGATTTGTTCTGAATAGTTCCAATTTACAGTTTTAAGTTCATCTTGACAACTAACAGCTCTCCCTTTTAACTCAAAAGCATCCCAATTTGAAAGACAAATGTTTATACTCTTTGTAATGAAACAATCTCATCTGTATAAAGATATGCAACTCATTCTTAAATATCAAATTATTGGATATAACCCACACTTTAAATAGTCAAGATGATGGTGATGATGATAATGATGATGATGATGATGATGATGATGACAGCGATGACAACGACTTGCAGTACTGAGGATAGAACCCAGAACCTCTGCACTGAGCTTCGTCCCCTGTCCTTCATTTATTATTTTGAGACAAGGTCTCCTTACGTCCCTAAGTTGGCTTGAACTTGTGATCCTCCTGCCTTAGCCCCCCAGAGTGTTGGAATTACAGTCATGTGCCACCATGCCTGGCTTGTTAAGGAATTATTTTTTAGGCTTATTCTTTCCAAAAGTTCCCTCATAATTAAAACTTCTTTTTCTTTGGAAGAATATCTATCACCAAAACTATGACATATTGGGCTATTCATCTGCCAGTATTAAATCATCATTGATACAAATGACAAATCCACATAGTGTACTAATCCATCAAAAATACATATGTGTGTGATTTATTATTATTTATTTATGTTTGGTGCTGGGAATCGAGCTCTGGACCTTGTGCTTGTGAGGCAGGAGGCAGAACCACTGAGCTAATCCCTGGTGCTGATTTATTATATCTCCTACTAAACTTAAGTTCAACTACCCTCCCTTACACAGATATAACTCCCTCTTTTTGCAAATGGGAGGTTTAGTCAAGACTATATATACTTCTTTCAGTCTAACATATAGGCAGATATGTTTTCTTTAATTGAGTTACTTTGCCTGTGAATATATGAGTGAAACTTTCTAGTCACTAAAAATATAATGGTATCACTCCAAATAATACATCCACAAACTTTATTCTTCTTGGAGTACCTGGAGTGTAGAATAAATGAGCTCCCTACATGTAAAAGTTGCCTCAAATCCAGAGGGCTCATGTAAACATCCCCTAAGAAATGTGTCTGTCTGGGTGAGAAATAACCCCAAAGAGCAACCACAGAGCAAGAAAGAGAGAGAAATGAATGGCTAACCAGTGAGGCTATACCTTTGCCTCTAGTGCCTATGAAGACTTTGCAAAGCTATATTTTTGTGACCATCTTGTAAGTGGAGACACTTAGAGATATATTTTCCAGATGGAGGGACAAGATAGAAGAGTTAAAATATCAACTAATAGATGGAGGTGAAGAAGCTACAA